CTAAAATTGCATCAAAGCCAAGGTTGTTATTAAGCATTCACATGTCCAAGACTTTGATAAAAGGTACAAAAAAAAAATCCAGTCCACAATTACTTTTTATATTGAAAAAACGTCATTTTGTGTGTGTGTTTTTTTTCACCAAATCAGTGACATCATTTGTAAATTTGGCAATTAAAGAGTTAAAGTGCTGTAATTTTCTAAAAATAAAAAAAAAAGTAGTTTTTATCATGAGTGAGGTAGATTAACAAATTTATGCAAAAAAAAATAAATAAATAAAATATATATATATATATATATATATATATTTGTCTGATGTATTTTTACAGCAGTTTAATTCAGTGGATGTTTTTCACCAATAATATAACAAGTACAGTTGAAGTCGGAATTATTAACCCCCCTGATTTCTTGGCCCCCCTGTATATTTTTTCCCCAATTTCTGTTTAACGGAGAGATTTTCTTCCCATTTCTGTACATAATAGTTTAAAGAACTTATTTCTAATAACTGATTTATTTTCTCTTTGCCATGATGACAGTAAATAATATTTGACTACATATTTTTCAAGACACTTCTATACAGCTTAAAGTGACATTTATGAGTTTAACTAGTTTAATTAGGTTTGCTTGGCAGGTTAGGGTAATTAGGCAAGTTATTGTATAACGATGGTTTGTTCTGTGGACTATCGAAAAATATATAGCTTAAAAGGACTAATAATTTTGACCTTAAAATGGTTCATAAAAATTTAAGATCTGCTTTTGTTCTAGCCAAAATAAAACAAATCAGACTTTCTCCAGAAGAAAAAAATATTATCAGTCATGCTGTGAAAATGTCCTTGGTCTGTTAAACATAATTTGGGAAATATTAAAAAAAGAAAAGAAAATTCAAAAGGGGGGCTAATAATTCTGACTTTAAGTGTAAATTTGAACAGTGCACAAGGGTTGAAACAAGTGGCAAAAAAGTTATAAAATATCAAAGAAAACATCAACTAATACATAAAATACATACTTGTGTAAAACTGCGTAATTTATATCTTATATCGAAAATCCAAGATTATTCAAAGCTCTATTTCTTTCCTGCTTTAAATAGACATGGATGTATTTGAGTCTAATTTGATTTCTTCATAATGTACAATGGGGAAAAACCTCTTCTGACAATCTCAGGATTATTCTATGCAAAATCGAGCTCCAGTTGATTTATTTGTTTGCAGATCTACACCAACCTGAAGTGCCACAGTCATTAATGTTCCCGGTTTTGTCGTCAGCTTCTGGCGTTCATTAATCAGTGAGTCAGAATCATTTGTTTTCGCTTCGGACAGAGTTTCTGGAATGTAGCAGGGTTTTGCATGAGTCAAATGAACGTCTGCTTCTGCTTCTTCAGAAACGCCGCTGATGGAAGTGGATGTGCGTGTTTGAGGACTGACTAGCTAAACTAGCTCGAGCTGTTGTGTAGATTTCTAATCTTACCTCAGAATTCAACAAGACTCTTTATTGTTTCGTGTTTTTCCAGCTAGCATAAGGTTACTGTTAACATCTACTTGATAGGTTTTACAGGAATCACACATTTTTCTATCAGATAAACTGTAAGACAAGTTACACACTGATTTTTTTTTTTAATAATTGATGTTAGATGTTTAATAAATTGTCAAACTATAATAAAAAACGGTACTAGTGTTAGCTGACACTGCTAATTAGCATTGTAGTTTAATCACAGCAAAACATTTAGGTACACATTTCAATCAAATTAGTCCCTCCAGGATTTTTAAAAAAATGAAATAAAATTTAGTGACTATAATTGCTGATTTTGTGTTAAGTTTTCACAAATTTGTGTCTTTTCTTTTACTGTTTTGCTGTTAAATTACACAAATTGAAGCATCTTAATTTATCTTCACATCTTAGTTTATGACCTTGAGAACTATTGATCTCTCATTTATATATAAAAAAACACTGAATCTTTAATATTTGATGTTAGAAGTTCATTAAATCATCAAACTGGTTGTTAACGCTAAGCATAAACTGACTTGATTGAGTAAACTTGACAAACTGTTAACTTGTAAACTGGACACACTGACTTGATCTGATCAGACTAACCTGATCTATATGAACTGACTTAAGTCGAACAATCTGAAAATAAACTGACTTTATTTTCACAAACTCCGTCTGAATAAGCTGACTTCATTTGAATAAACTGGCCTGGTTTGTGTAAACTGATGACTTGATCGGAATAAACTTATCTAGTTTAAACAAACTGCTTTTGGCCTGAATAAACTGACTTGATCTGAACAATCTGAAATAAGCTGACCTCATCTAGACGAACTGGCTTGGTCAGTCAAAACTGACTTGATCTAAATAAACTGACTTGATCTCGACAAACTGACTTGATCTGAATAAACTCATCTGATTTGTATGAACTGACTTAAACTGAACAGTCTGAAATAAACTGACTTCATCTGCACAAACTCTGAATAATCTGGCCTTATCTGGACAAACTGGCTTGGTTTGTGTAAACTGACTTGATTGGAATAAGTTGGCTTGATCTCAACAAACTGGGTTGTTTGGAGTAAACTGACTTAATCTGCATAGACTGAACTAATCTAAACAAACTGATTTGGTCTGAACAAACTGAACCAAATTGACTTCATCTGCACAAACTCAGTCTGAATAAGCTGACTTCATTTGGATAAACTGGCTTAGTTTGTGTGAACTGACTTGATTGGAATAAACTGACTTGATCTTGACAAACTGTTCTAATTTTCTGGACAAAGTTTCTGGAATGTAGCAGGGTTTTGCATGAGTCAAATGAACGTCTGCTTCTGCTTCTTCAGAAACGCAGCTGATGGAAGTGGATGTGTGTGTTTGAGGACCGACTAGCTAAACCAGCTCGAGCTGTTGTGTAGATTTCTAATCTTACCTCAGAATTCAACAAGACTCTTTATTGTTTCATGTTTTTCCAGCTAGCATAAGGTTACTGTTAACATTGTTAAATAAGCTGACTTCATTTGGATAAACTGGCTTAGTTTGTGTAAACTGACTTGATTGGAATAAACTGACTTGAACTTGACAAACTGGTTTGTTTGGCATAAACTGACTTGATCTGAACAAACTGTTCTAATTTAAACAAACCTCTTTTGGTTTGAATAAACTGACTTGATCTGAACAAACTGACCTGATCTATATAAACTGATTTACATTGAACAATCTCAAATAAACTGACTTCATCTGCACAAACTCAGTCTGAATCTGCTAACTTCATTTAGACAAACTGGCTTGGTTGGTGTAAACTGACTTAATTGGAATAAACTGATCTGAACTCTATGACCTGATTTCCACTGAACATTCTGAAAATAAACTGACGTTATCTGCACAAACTCAATCTGAATAAGCTGAGCTTGCTTTGTGTAAACTGACTTGATTGGAATAAACTGACTTGATCTCGACAAACTGGTTTGTTTGGTGTAAACTGACCTAGCCTAAAAACTCACCTAATCTGCACAAGGTGGTTTGGTCTGAGTAAAGTGACTTGATCTGAACAAACTGGCTTGATCCGAGTTTTAACACTACTGTCTTTACAGTGGAATCTGAATCATCAGCAGTCCTGTTTCCATCACTGATTCTGCTGTTTTTCCCATTTGTCACTCTTATTTGACTGTTAATCAATTGTAAAGACGTTTCATATGAAGGACTGCCACATTCTTATTAGCTTCACCACTGCTAAACCACACACAGTGATCAAGAACACTTAGCTGAAATTGTGTATCCGTAGTACAGATTTCTGAACTGATAAAACCAAGAGGCAAACCACAGCAGACCGCCACTCAGAAAACTGAGCTCGTCTTACTAGACTATTTGCAATATTTCATTTATTTAATTGTTGTGTCTATAACATTACACTTAGAACACAATGCATTCTTTCAATATTAATAATTTAATTTCATTTTCTTGTCGGCTTAGTTCCTTTATTAGTCCGGGGTCGCCACAGCGGAATGAACCGACAACTTATCCAGCAAGTTTTTACGCAGCGGATGCCCTTCCAGCCGCAACCCATCTCTGGGAAACATCTACACACACACTCATACACTACAGACAATTTAGCCTACCCAATTGGACTGTGGGGGAAACCGGAGCACCCGGAGGAAACCCACGCGAACGCAGGGAGAACATGCAAACTCCACACAGAAACGCCAACTGAGCCGAGGCTCGAACCAGCGACCCAGCGACCTTCTTGCTGTGAGACAACAGCACTACCTACTGCGCCACTGCTTTGCCAATATTAATAATTCATCTTTCAAATTTTATATTGATTTATTTATTATTATTTAGATTATTATTATTAATATTATATATTTTAACTGCTCAGTAATTGAATTAAATAATATCTCTAGTTTCTTTAAATGTAAACAAACTCCAATTTGAAATACTTTGGGTTAAGCTGGGTTAAAGTTACATTACCAGTGTTGGGCAAGCTGCTCTGAAACTCGATAGTGTTGAACATTTTAAGTAAAATATGTCAAGAATATTTGAGGATGGTCTGTTGAATTGATATAAAATAATGTACAATGAAAGTGTGCATTATTTTTCTGATTATTCAACATTCCGACATCAATTATTTCACTTATTTTATAGTTCCCAAAGCTAAAGCCACAGTTCAGATGTTGTATTTCAGACATTTGTCAGGTTTTTGTCCTCAAAATGCTAATGTATGATAGACCAGTTCCTCAACCAAAGCCTTCTGTTGTGTTTTGATGTGACTGTTGAAGCTGTTAATGACTCATTCAGCGTAGTGATATGAAGCTGTAATGTGCTCAAAACCTGCCGGAACTACTTTAGCTGTGCATTTATTTAAAAATAACAGCACATCTTAGAATGCTAATCAGCCAATCAGAATCAAGCAATCAGCATTTAAAATGCATCACATCAGTGGAGATTTGATCTTGATCAGTAGTTGAGTTGTTTTTCCTGACGACTCGTAGATTAAATGTAATGTTATCTGTTATTTCCTCCTGAAGGTTTATCGCAGGTCCGTGTGCCTCCATGCTTCAGATCCAGACGGAGTTGAGTAGGAGAGCTCAGCCCAACGCCGTCCTGGAGAAAGTGTTTACATCCATCACAAAGGTATGATTCAGACAGAACCAGCGCAATGGAAAAACAACACCGTTCAAATTATGGGTTGCACTTCCCATGCTTTCAAACATAAACAAATTCCTGGAGATAGTGAGGTTGTGCAGCAAATAATCCATATACAGGTCAAGTCAGAGCTTGCGTAGTAGAACCTGCAATATGTTTATTAACACTGGAACTACTAGAATTCTACTGGAATTACCATAGTAGTGATGGCGTTCTCAACATACCAGACATCATACTGTCCCGTCATGTTTACATTTAAAGCTTCTATTGAGATACTAAAATTAACCTTTAATTGTCTGTCGTCATATTTAATAAAGTCATTACTCTAGTAATAAGTAATAAACAATCTTTATTATGATTAATCTTAGCAGTGACTCTAAAAGTCCTGTTTTGTGGCACCTGCTCAACTCTAATCCAGACTCAGCATTGTAAGTCGTGCGATGTGATAATTGCGGATGCGATATGGCAGGCCTAATTCTGTTATTTAAATCTTTTATCTAAATATAGTAACACATTTATTTCGAAGCATTTATTTTAAAAAGATTCCCATATTCAAATTTGTATTCAAATGTGGCCACACGGTTATTTTTATGCCTTTATTTGAATATGGCTACATAATGATATTGCACTTCTCAATGTTATTTTACGTATAAATCTCTGACAGAGACCCCTCCCCCACCAGCCAATCATTGCGTGCATAGTTAACGAGAATGATGACATCATCAGTAGCATCAAGGATAACCCCGCCTCTTTTTTTGTATATTAAAACTTCTCTCTCAGATTTTAATAAAAGCTTCTTGCTCTATTTACTCCCATAATTATTGCAGTGCATCATGGGATGTAGAATAAAAGGTGGATACAATTCGACAGCAGCAATATGAACATGTTTTCAGTCATAAATGTCTGTTTTTTTTCTTTTACGAACCTGTTTTTCTTCTTCTCCCTGTGCATTTTATGAGCTCATAAAAGCGACGTTGACTTCAACTTTAGCCGAGAAATGCAGGTTTAGCATTAGCGGATGGATAAATAAAGGAACGAATGCTCTGACTTTACAATAACCAGTCACTTCAAAGAGGCGTGCGCTTAAAGTGCTGTAAAAGTGTCTTATCTGCGCCGTTTTGTTATAGGTGTAAATCTGATCTGATAACTGGAGCCGCTCGCCGGAAGACAGAAGCTGTCAATATGCGGCCTGGGCTTCGCTCTTCTCGTTTGACTGGTTATTCTGGAGGTCTTTCTGCAGCTTCTCAGAAAGCTGTCACTGATTTTGATGTATTTTCTTGTTTGCATTCTTCGAATTTGATTTATTTGTTTACTTTGTTGGTCTCAGATCCTGATTGTAAATCAATAATACAAAAATGACTTGCTGTTTCAGACTGTAATAACTGAAGCAGTGAAATATATATTAAAGGGCCATGAAACCCCCTCGTTTCAGCAGGGTGTTTTCACACCTCTACTTTGGAAAAAGTCAGAAAAGTGGGCGTGTCCAGCTCTGTTTAGGGGGGAGTGTCGGAGGAAGAAAAGAGGCACAGTGTGGGAGTGTCTATTTGAACACGCGCTGAGTTTCAGAGTCAAAATACACACACACAGGGGACACACACACACACACAGGGCACACACAAAGTGATGGTGTTTAACCTACATGGACATCTGTAGTCGAATTATTTGACAAATTATTAAATGTTGGACCTAAACTGCAGTTTGGCTCTTTTATTCAGGGAATTCATTCATGTCCCTCGTGACAAACGAGATATTTGATTCGAGGAACTTCTGCAAGCGTGTATTTTTCATGCAATGTTTGATACCGCACGGCGAATGAGAGAAAAAAAAACTCTGCATTTCCCGGAAACTTAGATGCACACGGCAGGTAGCGTCAGAAAGCCGCGTGTGTTATTCCGGTCACTAAATGCGGTGAAAACCCTACACGAGGTTAAAGTTTGGTTGTGGTGCTAACATGTTTACACTTGGTGCAATAGTTAGTTTGATACAAACAAACTGAATAAACAAAGAGCACTGGTCGCTTACTTACCAAATCTGTAGAGACAGGACAATCACCAGCAACTAGAGCCGCGTCTTTATAAAAAGGAGACTAAAGCGAATCCGGATCTCAGCGTTTGCAGATGAGAACAGCTCTCAGGTAAACAATAATCCTCCTCAGACACGCAAGTTATTGTTGTCGAGCGTCGCGTACACTGTTAATCCACACGTGACTCCAGCTGAGCTCTCACAGAGAGAAAATGAAAACAAAACTTAACAGCAGCAAAATATAAAAGCAACACTTCACGCTTGTTTTGCCAACACAACGTGGCGTCTTTGTCGTCTAAACACTGTGACAGTAATGAATATTAATGAAGTTGCACAATAGAGCACGCTGATTGGTTTGAACCAAGCCTTACTCATGCATTAATGCATCACACTGTAAGACGTAATAAGACACACTCTGGCACAGACGCCCAGTCTGCACGCTGGAATACACACTATTATGTCATGACCGTGACGCAGCTTCAAAAATTGTTTCAAACCAGAAGTACGAATTTGCTTAAAATAACGCAAAAACAACCAATTTACACTTTTTATTGAAATATAGGTGTCCTAATAGTGTTTTTAGCAGTGTGGGACACATATACGACTGTCAACAGCTCAAAAAATGTGTTTTGGTGTTTCGTGACCCTTTAACACCGTGCATGGTGATTTGGCCTTAAATCAAAATCTCGATTAATTAATCATTAAATCTACTATGATTTATGATTTATTAATGTAATTTATTTATACATTTTTTGCCCTCATAGTTCACAGACAAGTTTTATATGCTATTTAAAGACATCTCTGGAGCAGCTTCCAATCATGGTCAATGGCACGGTGGTTAGCACTGTGGCCTCACAGCAAGAAGATCGTTGGTGCAAACCTCAGCTGGGTCAATCGGCATTTCCCTGTGGAGTTTGCATGTTCTCCCGTGTTGGCGTGGGAGTCCTACGGGTGCTCCGGTTTCCCCCACAGTCTAAACACATGTGCTATAGGTGAATTGAATTAACCAAATTGGCTATAGTGTATGTGTGAATGAGTGTTTATGAGTGTTTCTCAGTAATGGGTTGTGGCTGGAAGGGCATCCGCCGCGTAAAACGTATGCAGGAACAGTTGGCGGTTCATTTCGCTGTGGTGACCCCTGGCAAATAAGGGACTAAGCCGAAGGAAAATGAAAGAATAACATCACTTCCATCACAGACTATTTTAGCCCGATAAAGTTTTGTTAAATGTTAGTATACTTGTTGACTAAGCAGACAAAAGTGTCACTGAGGGGCTTGAAATAGAAGTATTGTCAAATATGATGAAATCACTAAAGATATTAATATCACTTTACAATATTATGTGACATTAACAGATTGAAAAAAGTTAAATAAAATTTCATTGCATTTAATAAAGATTATTAGCCTTTTTAGAGCAGTTTAAAAGTGGACATTTAAAAAAAAAATTGCCTAAATGTCATTACCGTCAGCATCACTTCCACAATATAATGAAGAATAATTAGAGAAAAGATTAACATAACTGTTTGTTTATTTATTTATTTATTTATTTCTGTGTTTGTTTCAGTCTCCAGACTCCAGGCATTCAGAAGGCCTGTCTAAACAGCTGGACTGGGATGTGCGAAAAGTCCAGCGATGGTTTCGACACAGAAGAAACCAAGACAAACCCAGCACAAGAACCAAATTCTGCGAGAGCATGTAGGTTTCCAGTTGATCCTACTGTGCATGCCTGCTAGCGAATTAGCTTGTGGAGTAACATGAAAATATGCCAATGAATATCTGCATTCATAATCAAAACACAATGAGGAATTATTGGCATTACGACATGCTTCATGCTGATTTTTAGATTTTATGGTTGTTCATTTTGGTTTAATTATTTATTGTGTTCATTGTAAACTTTCACAGAGGTGAATTGTATAGGTTTATTTATTTTATTAAATGCACCAAGTAATTTATCAGCAATATTTGCTCGACAGCATGCTTCAAGTATTAAATATAAGCTTTCACTCTTTCTTTTTTAGGCACATTTCTCACTTTCGTTTAATATTTGGTGAATTTTTAATCTATTCATCATGTAGCATTTGGTGTTTCTTTGTAATCCGCTTGTTGAGTGGTGACGTGTTTGTGACGTATGTAATACCGTTTCCGGGTCCAAGCCGCCACTCATTTGAGTGGAGAAATCATTCGTTTATGATCACGTTTTATTCCTATCACACATTAAAGTTAATCTTATATAAAGTCATAGTGTACACAATTATCTCTGGGCTTGCTGCATAACAAATACCAAAAATGTAACAATATATAAAAAATTTATCACTTTCTGGCCATCGGATATTAGGCAATGGACATATATACTGCAATCGTGATTTTCGAAAGCATTAAATCGCTTTGTAAACGTTTATTATTACCATTTCATGAGCCGTCCCATTCAGTTGAATAGAGCGCTTGGACCTGGAAGCCGCTTCGCGTGACGTCACACTTAACAAGCGGATATGAAGGAAATTCCATTCAGAATGCATTGTGAAATGTAAAACTTTATTAATTTACTATACAGTATTTGTTATCAATTATTGTTTTATTAAGGGATTTATCAACATTATTTTCACTACAGCATGCGTTAAGTTTTAAGTAAATCTTGTAATTGCGTGTACTTTTTTGTTTTATGCACATTTTTAAATTTAGTTTCATTCACAAATTACCGTTTCTTCTTAATATAATAAAAATTCCACTCAAAACCCACCTTTTTCCATTTTTAGATGCATTTATCAAATAAAATAAGGAATCTATTAGTGACGTTTTATACGATACATTCACACGCCAGCTAAAAATGTTGTGGAGTTTGGTCGACTAAATACAAATTTTTCGATGGATAAATACTCTTGCTGACATCATCCCGTGTTAATGCGCATTTTGAAATATCGCCTGAGAAATGAGCGATGAAAAAGGCAAAAAAATATATAATAATCGATTAATTTGTAAAAAAACTACATAGTCCGATCACTTGAGATAGATTCGGACTTGTGCGATAAAGTTTGCTGAATTGCTGTTGCAAATTAAACTTTGACATTACACACACGTGACCAATCAGCAGTCTCCATTATCTTTTCCTTGTTTACTGTTGGTTGCTAGGTTACCAATACTACATTCGGCTGCTTTACTAACTTAACGGAAACACTCTTAATTCCCATTTGCATTGTTTATTTAGTTTTTTTACTTATTTATTTGATGTATGGTGAACTTTGAAAATATTTGCGTCACCTTAAGTTGGAAACCCAGCTACTGTTTTACCAAACAGCAATAAAAGAAATACAATTAGACTGATGATAAGACGTAATTTTGTTCATGCCGATATTAGCGGAATTGTTATAAAGTCACTAAATGCATATATTTGTATATTGCATACTGTTTAAAAGTATTACAATGTCAGAGTCATTAGTTGTCAAACAAAAAGTACACAACGAATCATTATTGAGAGAGCTGGTTGGTTTGGTTGATTAGCAGTATTAAATGAGGAATATTTACCGGATTTTAATGTAAAGGTTGAGTGGAGAGTAAATGAGGAAATACCAGTGTGATTATAATGCAATGTGATTCCTCTTATCTGTGTTTGAGTGTGTATGTTTAGTTGTTGTTTTTCTGACAACAGCTGTGTTTTTCTCTACAGGTGGAGGTTTACATTCTATCTGTCTATATTTACGTATGGGATGCGTTTTCTGTGGCAGGTGAGTTTGGCTCTCCAAGTGGTCTTTATGGATCTTTTTAGTTTCCTGCTATTTTATATGACTGAAATGTGTAGGATTATATGCAGATATGACATTTATACGCTTTTTCATGCCAGTTAACTGTGTGTGTGTGTGTGTGTGTGTGTGTGTGTGTGTGTGTGTGTGTGTGTGTTGTAGTCTCCGTGGATGTGGGATACGAGACAGTGCTGGTACAACTACCCCTATCAGGTAATGCTTGAATGATTTTTAATGCAGGTTCAGATTAATCCCCATGGTTAACTTTGACATTCTCTGGAAGCAAATCATGTTAAAACATTGTCAACCATGCATGGTTTATTAGATAATAACAACAACCTTGCAAAACCTGAATTTAAAAAATGTATGTTCTCACATACAGCAGGGGAAAATAATAATATGTTTTGTTTAAATGCACCAATATATATCACTCATATTCACTGAGAAATGAGGTATAATATTTATTTTCATAATGGGGTATACTCATACTGAGCACTGTGTGTAGTCACGATATAAGATTTGGGGAATGAATGTGCTTAAATAAGAAATTAACTTTACATGAGTGTCTTTTAAAAATGTCAACTTCCATTTATAATTTGGCATTTTAAGTGTTTCCTCAAAAGTAGTTTCTGCTTTATAATCCAAGTCTGTGTGTGTGTTTGTGTGTTGTAGGTGCTGACCTCAGGCCTGTATTATTATTATGTAACAGAACTGGCCTTCTACTGGTCGCTCATGTTCTCTCAGTTCACAGACATCAAAAGAAAGGTGAGTCCAGAACCTTATAAAAGCAAAACTTCATTTAATTTACCTCTTTGCCTCCTACCAGATCGGAGGGTGCTTTCACACCTACACTTTTGTTTCGGAACGTGTCTCGTTTGCTCAGTTAGCGCGGTTCGTTTGGCATATGTGAACAGGGCAATCGCGATTTGTTCCGCGCCAAAGTAATCGCTCCGAGATCGCTTGAATGAAGTGGTCTCGGTTTGATTGAAACGAACCCTGGTGCGGTTCGATTGCAGTGAGAAAGCGATCCGATCCGAGCGCGGTTATATCACAGTGTTTTATGGATATGTAATAGGCTTACGGCTATATGAAGAGAGAATTATGAGTAGGGCGGGAAGTTTCGCGAGTCTCCGGATGCCCGCAAACGAGTGATGATCTCCCGGTAATCTCGCGTCTCTCTCCCGGTCCTCAAATAGGCATCGTCGCGCACCCTTCTCACCCCTCCCCACCGCGTCTCTCCTCAGACACATCGCGCGCGCACCCTGTCAATTACCACCAAACCACCACCTCTCCTGACAGCTGAGCGGGACGCTGCAAAATAAACCCTGACACTCTGACCAATGTGAGGAGAGTTTACTCGCACGTGACTTGTTTTAGGGCTTTTGGTCCGATTAGAAACTTTGCAGTGTGAAAGCGAACCGCTCCAAGAGCAAAGAGCAACAATGTAACAATTGTAATCTCTGTTTCGGAACAACTGAATCGATTCACAGGTGTGAAAGCACCCTGAGATACATATTTAAAATAGATTTCTTTTTTAAAGGGGTCATGAACTCAGAAACCAATATTCCCTTGGTCTTTTGACATATGAAGACTCGTAGTACTGTAAGAACATCCTGTACGTTTCAGAGCTCAAAACGTTGAGTTTCCTCCAAAAAGGCTTGTATTGAAGGCCGTCTGACAAAGCCACAGACTTTGGAATGTTTGTCTCTATGATGTCATAAGGTGGATAAGCTCCACCTCCACAGAAGATTAACGCCCACTTCTACTGAACTGCCTATTTGGCTTTCTTATGGGCCGATCACAACGAATGTGCTCTTTGCATTGAGAGGCGCCTCTCAAATAGTTTGCTAACAGCCGCGAGCGTTTTGAGCGCTGCTTATGCGCCCTGCGCGTCTCACGTTTTAACCGCCTGCTGCGCCTCGCATTTTTGCCCTTGCATGCCATGCGCTCTCAATTAAAAAAAAAAAGTCAACTCTGAGTAGGAAAAGCACGCTACATCACTCGCGTCTGTTTCATTTTCCAATCAAATGGAAGCAGAGGCGGGGTTTCCGTGAGGCGCCTGCAGTGTTTGTGTTTGTGTCAGCTGATTCACTCGTTGCCTAGCGACATAAAAAAAAGCGCACACGTTCCTTTTTTTCTTGTCAACAAAAAGGCAGTGCGTTTTGGGATTGTAAATGCGCATTCAATGTGAACGGCCCCTTAATATGAAAAATTTCCAGCCAGTCTGAGAAGTGGGCTTTACTTTAGAGACTACAATCGGCCACACCCACTTAAAGCTTTCTAATGAGGGTCAAAAACAGCATAGAAAATAGTTCCCTTTTAAATTATCATGCTTTTTAGAAGAGATTGGTCAAGGACTGAAGATTTTTCTGGAATATTTTCAACAAATCTATGTTGCGTACTGCAGTGTTCGAGGTGTTTTACAGTCTGTATGCCACCATGACCGCCTGTTTAAATTCACTTCCTCTAACACACACAGATTACCAGATTAAAGAGTACTAATATAAGATTAATACTTGAAATGTAATTTTGGCCATTGTCAAATTGTCATGCGTTTACGATAGAATTTGCACTATACAATTTTTAAGTATGCATTTACGATAGTATTTGCACTATACAAAGTTTTAAGTATGTGTTTATGATGGTATTTGCACTATACAAATTCTTAAGTATGTGTTTATGATGGTATTTTCACTATACAAATTTTTAAAAATGCGTTTACAATAGTGTTTGCACTATACAAATTTTTAAGAATACGTTTACGATAGTGTTTGCACTATACAAATTTTTAAATTTGCATTTATGATAGTATTTGCACTATACACAATTTGTCAAAAGTGTTTCTTTTAAGCTATTTTTAAAATGTTTGCTGCATGAGTAAAAAAAATCTGCTATACTTATCAATTCAATTCTGGTATATATATATAAACACACACACAGACACGCACACACACACACTAATAATGTACTGTTTATTTAAAATGTAATTTTTTTTATATTTTTTATGAAATAAAAGATATATTTAGGTAATTTTTAAACACATTTCAAAGTGATTTTTGATAATTTTCTAATATTTTAATTATTAAAAAATAATTATTGCATAAAAGCAGATGTTTTTTTTTTTGTTTGTATAATATAAATAGGTGTTGTGACTATCCTTGTTCAAAGTTTTAAATTAGTCACATCACATCAGCAGGTTACACTTACAAAAAAAAACTGAATGGGTCAAGAAAATTTGCAGTCTCTATTTATTTTATGTCAAAATCTTAACATTATATGTGGACCCCTGAGAACATTTCAAAATAAACGACCAAGGTAGTATGTGACTATAATAAATACAGGTGAGGTCAACATACGCTTATTTTACACACTTAAGAAGATAGTACACAAAAAAATGCAAGTTTCATTTTCAGCTGTTGAACAAAAAAAGAAGATAATTTGAAGAATGTTATAAACTGGTAACCACTGACTACCATAGTAGGAGAAAGAATACTATTGTGGTCAATGGTTACCAGTTTCCAATCATTCCTCAAAATATCTTCTTTTGTATTCAACAGGAAAAAAGAAACTCATCAATGTTTGAATCAAGTGAGTAAATGATAAAGTTTTGGGTGAACTATCCCTTTAAGACGTCTCTCGGCGATCTTACATCATGTGACGGAGATTTAAACTGCTTAAGCTTGTGCAGATTAGTGTGTTAAAGGACCTTAAACTCCAGCAGTAATCCTTCAGAACGAGTGTGTGTGAATTGAACAGCTGTCAGACGCACTTGCTTTCTTTTCTCCTGTCACTGCTGCTTTATTTTCATCAGCTCTTGAAAACAAACGCATTTGTTTCTGTCCGCTGAGCGTCTTCAGGTTTATTTGTTTAAGATTCGGCCCTCGGCGGTGTTCATTGTGAGGCCATAGTTTAGTATAATAACTGACAGTGAGTCAAAAGTCATAACACAGAGGTTTCGTTCATCTTTTCAGTAACACTCAGGAAATTAATTGAGCTTCTGTTGTGCATGTTATCAAGCTGGAAGGAAAATACTTTAATCGAAAATTATGAAATTTGCACTATACAAAGTTTTAAGTATGCGTTTACGATAGAATTTGCACTATACAATTTTTAAGTATGCATTTACGATAGTATTTGCACTATACAAAGTTTCAAGTATGCTTTTACGATAGTATTTGCACTATACAGATTCTTAAGTATGTGTTTATGATAGTATTTGCACTATACAAATTTTTAAGTATGTGTTTATGATGGTATTTGCACTATACAAATTTTTAAGTATGTGTTTATGATGGTATTTGCACTATACAAATTTTTAAGAATACGTTTACGATAGTATTTGCACTATACACATTTTTAAGAGTACGTTTACGATAGTGTTTGCACTATACAAAGTTTTAAATATGCGTTTACGATAGTATTTGCACTATACTAAGTTTTAAGTTTACGTTTACAATAATATTTGCACTATGCAAAGTTTTAAGTATGCATTTAAGATAGTATTTGCACTATACAAAGTTTAAAGTATACGCATACAATAGTATTTGCACTATACAGTGTTTCAAGTATACTTTTACGTTAGTATTTACACTAAACAAGTTTTTAAGTATGCGTTTACGATAGTGTTTGCACTGTACAAAGTTTTATATATGCGTTTACAATGGTATTTTCACTATACTGAGTTGTTTACGTTTACGATAGTATTTGCACTACACAGTTTTAAGTATGCGTTTACAATAATATTTGCACTATACAAAGTTTTAAGTATGCATTTAAAATAGTATTTGCACTATACAAAGTTTTAAGTGTACGTTTATGATAGTATTTGCACTTTACAAAGATTTAAGTATGCGTTTATGACAATATTTGGACTATACCAAGTTTTAAGTATGCATTTACAATAGTATTTGCATTATACTTAGTTTTAAGTATACGTTTATGATAGTATTTGCACTATACTGAGTTTTATTTTTAAGTTTACGGTGGTATTTAAACTATATAGTTTTAAGTATACGTTTATGATAGTATTTGCACTATACTGAGTATTATAGTATATTATAAGCATAATTGTATAATAATATAGTATTATAAGCATAATTGACACTTTTCAATTGTTATTTTTGAGATCAGGAACGGTCAAACTGTATACTTAAGATGCTGATTTACTTTTAGTTGACCCATTTGTAAGGATATGGACCAAGAACGTTTTTTTTTTTTTTTTTTTTTTCTTTTGTGCCGATATACTGTAAAATTGAGTCAGTACCAAAATACAGATCATACTGATAAATTATAAGCTTGTACTTTACCATGCTTCATTTCAAATTGGTTAAAATCAATTGTTATTTTGAGTTTGTGCAGATTTGATATAAGTGTTTTGTTGATTATTGTGAAATGTATTTGTGTTTGCGTAATTGTTTTTATGAGTTTAAGAGTGTGATTTAAACTGTTTAAAATAAATAAATCAAATTTAATTATAATCACATTGCAATGTCTCCAAATATTTAGGTGTTATTAGTACGGGTGGGTGAAAAAAATGTATTCATTGATGAATCGCGACTCATTTTTTATTAAATCTGAATCAATTCTCAGTATAGATTCAAAACTTGCCAGAACTAATTTAGCTGTATGTTTATCTTTATTAGAATGCTCAGCCAATCAGAATCAAGCATCCAACAGCCCCTGTAGTATGACTGTAATTAATTTGCATAATGTGTTTGTGTTTTGCATCTAGTGTATTCATTTAAGGTTTATGTTGTGTGTCTTTCAGGATTTCCTCATCATGTTCATTCATCATCTGGCCACCATCGGCCTGATCAGTTTCTCATATGTAAATAACATGTTGCGTGTGGGAAGTTTGGTCATGTGTGTTCATGATGCCTCCGACTTCCTGCTGGAGGTAAAAAAAACAACAACAACAAAACACTTGCACTTCTGCATATATATATATATATATATATATATATATATATATATATATATATATAATTGATTAAGATCTAAACATTTTTCCTATATATACTGTAACTAACTCTAAATGTAAATAATTATAATGTAATTATAATTAAAAATAATTTTATAAATATAATGTAAATAATTCTAAATAATTTGTTTTATGCTTTCAGTTGTCATTTTTTTTAAATAAAACAAATATCAAAATTTTACAGAAACATATTATTATATATATATATATATATATATATATATATATATATATATATATATATATATATATATATATATATATATATATATATATATATATATATATATATATATATATATATATATATATATATATATATATATATATATATATATATATATATATGTATATATATATGTATGTATATATGTGTGTGTGTGTGTGTGTGTGTGTGTGTGTGTGTGTGTGTGTGTGTGTGTGTGTGTGTGTGTGTGTGTGTGTATGTATGTATGTATGTATGTATGTATATAGACATATATCATGTATAGACATATATCATGTATATATCTTGGCATATATATATATATGCCAAGGATTTTCCAGTTAAAGATAATTTTTAATATTTAATATCTTTATTTATTCTCCTTTTAGGCTTTGAATAACTGATTCATACATTATTTATTTGTTTTCATTAAATATTTTTCAAAAGCTGAAAAAGATATATACAAATCTATGAAGTATATATATTATAAAAGTAGAGTATCCTTAAAAAATGCATGTATGTTTGATGGATTCAGTTCTACATATTTAATGTTTAATTTTTCATAGCCTATAATTTTGCAATGTATAATTTTTATGTTCATTTAATTTATTAATATCTAAAGATAATCATTATATATGTCAATAATTGATTTTTTTTGTAAATAAATACAAAACATTTTTTTGCAATATTTCCAGTTACCTCCACAATTTTGCATATTATTTAGCTAATATCAGTGTTTAAAAACACTAGAATAGAAATAGCACTGTTTGCAAATGTTTCTTTTCTAAATTGTAAGTTATGTTAGCAACTTTGGATAGAAATTTAGCTTTCAAACACATTGGTTTGAAAAAGACACTGTTTTCTACATTTTTCTTCAATATTGCAAGTTACTTTGCATATTTGTATGGAAATTTGACTGTTGTACTTTTTACGTTTCGAAAATGTTAGGATGAAAATAGTGCTTTATTTTCAAGTGTTTTCTGTAGTATTCCATGTTAATGATTGATTTTTTTTTTTTTTTTGGACAAAAAAGCTTTTAAATAGCACTAATCTACAAATCCTTCAAGAATATATTAGAAAAATATAGTATCATCCTCTCAAAATCACCAAAAATTTATCGTCTTATTCGAATTGTTATTCTAATAATTTATATTAAGAATCTGTTTGAGAAGTGCTGAAGTATAATTCTATCCTATTGACTTTTCACTGTTATTTTCTTTGATATTTATGTTTTCCCTCTTCTTACAGGCGGCAAAGTTAGCAAACTATGCCAAATACCAGCGTGTGTGTGACGTGGTGTTTGTGATATTCGGGATAATCTTCTTCGGGACGAGATTGATCATTTTCCCCTTCTGGTCAGTGTGTCTCCTGTGTGCTCGTTAATGTAATTGCTCAATTAACTGTTCCGTTGACTGACTCCAGCAGAGATGAAACCCAAGCATCTGGATTCAGTGTCTCTGTTTAAGTGGAGAGCTAAATAATGAGGAAAGAAATTACTGATATATGTTTTATGTATTCAATATTCTAAGTTACTTCCCCAAATTTGTATAGTTTTAATTGAAGTTAAATATTAATTATTATTATTATAGTATATAATTAAATATAGATATTAGGTAAATGTAGTACAAATTAATTTGGTAATGTTTTGTACTTTTGAACTCATTGGGATTAAAACAAAAGCTTTATTTGCAAATATGTATTTCTAAAATTTTTAATTATGTTCGCAACTTTGGATTAAAAATTTAGAGTTAAGTTTTGTTCTTTCGAACTTTTGGATGAAAATAATACTTTATTTGCAAATATTACTTTCTAATATTTTAAGTTATGTTCGCAGCTTTAGAAGGAAATTTAGCTAATTGTTTTGAAAACAGCACTTTTTTCGCTTTTTTTTTTTTTCAACATGTTAAGTTACTTTCGCAAATTTGGATGTAAATTTTTAAGTGTAAAGATTTGTAGTCACGTTTAGTACTTTCAAACACATTGGGATTGAAACTACGCATTTTCAGCAATATTCCAAGTTACATTTACAATTTTGGTTAGAGATTTGACTAATGTTTATATTTTTTGCAATATTCAAGTTACGATTGCAACTTTTGATAGAAATTTTGCTAATTTAAAAATTAGCTTAAGTTTTGTTCTTTCGAAAAAATTAGGATAAAAGTATAACTTTATTTGCAAATATTTCTTTTTAATATTTCAAGTTATGTTCGCAGGTTTAGAAGCAAATTTAGCTAACTGTTTTTGAAAGCAGCACTTTATTCGCAATTTTTTCATTGCAATATTTCAAGTTACTTTCGTAAACTTTGATAAAAAATTTTTGTTCTTTCGAAAACAATGGGATAAAAATAGCAATATTTTTTTTCTAATATATTTTAAATTATGTTCACAGCTTTGGAAGGAAATTTAGCTAATTGTTTTGAAAACAGCACTTTATTTCCATTTTTATTTTTATTTTTTTTTATTTTTTTTTGCTTTATTTCAAGTTACTTTTGCAAATTTGGATAGAAGTTTTGATGGTATAAAGATTTTTGTGGTTACGTTTAGTACTTTCAAACACTTTGGGATTATAACTACGCATTTTTTGCAATAGCTACGACTACAATTTTGGATAGAAATTTAAGTAACGTACGTATTTTTTGCAATATTTCAAGTTACGTTCTTAAATTTTGATTGAAAATTAGCTAATGAAAATATTTTTTGCATTCGTTTTGTTCTTTGAACACATTGGAGGAAGCCACTTAATTTGCTAATGTTTTTTGCAATATAAGTTACGTCTGCAACTTTGGTTAGAAATGTATGTTTTATAAATATAGTTCTGTTAAACACCGGATAAAAACTGCTTTATTTGCATTTCTAAGCTAAATATGAACCTTCATATAGAAATTTATTTTTTGCAATATTCAAATTTAAATTCATGAATTTGGTTGGAAATGTCGTCAGTGGGTTTTTAGTTAATTTATTTTCTTTCAAAGTCAGAATGGGCATTTTTCAGAAATGTTAAGTCAATTCTTCATTTGTTTTTGTGACGGTCTCAGGATCCTGAACACGACTCTGTTTGAGAGCTGGCAGATCATCGGGCCGTACCCGTCCTGGTGGCTCTTCAACTTCTTGCTGCTGGTTCTGCAGGTGCTACACATCTTCTGGTCGTATCTGATCGCTCGCATCGCCTTCAAAGCCATCGTCAGGGGAAAGGTGCGCAAAAAACAACTTCATTTTGTATTTGTTCAGTCGTGACGAATGAAATACTGTTCCCGGGTCCAAGCCTCTACTCATTTGAGAACTCGATAACAGTCTCCATTTATGGCCAATGGTTATTCATATCACATTCAAGGGCTGATTGACTTACGATATAAAAATAATTGTGATGTATTATGATGTTGTGATGTGTGAGAGATCTGCAGAGATCAACAGCCTGAGATATCAAGACATTTGTGCTGCCCATTACATTACAAACCACAGGAGAGGGCAAATTCTCCAGCAGGATAGCGCTCCTTCTCATACTTCAGCCTCCATATCAAAGCTCCTGAAAGCAAATAAGGTCAAGGTGCTCCAGGAATGGCCTGCCCAGTCACCAGACTTAAACATTATTGAGCATGTCTGGCGTAAGATAAAGGAGGAGGCATTGAAGATGAATCCAAATAATCTTTGAACTCTGGGAGTCCTGCAAGAACGCTTTCTTTGCCATTCCAGATGACTTTATTAATACGCTGAATTAATATGTAAAATCAGAAGAGTTGTTGAATAGTATAAAGATCAACACAGTAATTTTAACCTTCCTAAAATAAATCCGTCAAACTTGAAATCATTGCGATCGTGATTTTAATATTGAAATGACACATTATCAGTGTATATTGGCACCATTTTGTTATTCACATTTGACGTCTGATGTAGAGTTTGGACCCAGAAACCGTGTCATGACGTCAGACTGAAGCAGATCAGCCTGTTTTTTTAGCTCTCAGTGAGGAGATTCTCCAGAAGTTGGTGTAGTTACGTGCGTTTCTTCTCTTTTATCTCTTTCTCTTCTGCAGAACTGGTTTGTCTTTTCCCTCTTTCGCTGGCTAGAAGATGGTTCCTGTCTTTCAGCTTCTCTCCCAATAGAAATCTGTCGCTCTTTCTGCTAGTCTCTCTCTCTCTCTCTCTCTTTCTCTCTCTTCAGCTGTAAGTCTGCTTTCTTTACTCCTTTCCCATGATCCCTTTTAAAGTAGTTTGCCGTCCCGGATCGTGGGTTTAACCTCCTGCTCTTTTGAGGGCAAGTTGAAGATTTATGTGCGAGAATTGCATATAAAATTTAGGTTACAGAGTTTTTACTTTTTCTTTTTTTCCAGCAAGTTTAACTAATTGGGCAAGTGTAGGCCTAAATTCCTGATATATTATTTATAAATTTAAGACTTTCTTTTTGGAATTACATATAAACTCTCTGTCCAATTTGGATCATAGTATAGTATATTTAGCGTGAACTCAAACTTAACTGTTTACATTTGGATACCATTGGACATTGGATTAATAATTAACTAATACACTAAATGCGATGCAAATTTGTCGAACATACTAAAATGAAAAAAGGTTTGAGGCAGGTTTTTGCAGTATTATGCTAAATGCTATATGCTAATATATTAAAATGTGTTTTAAATGTGCAATAAAGAGGTTATATTTATCATAAGAATTCCAATTAATATCATTTTAATGCATTTAAACTAATTATATTAATTTAGTTAGTATTTTAAGTCATGTTCAAACATTTTTAATGAATCAGATTTTAAGTCATTGATGCTTGTTTTAAGCATTTTTAGTACATGCATTTTGAATATGATTTTAATAAAATAAACGAATACTATTTTTTTATTTGAGAACTAAAATTTTTCTCTTAATTGACATATCTGACAAACATGAACACATTATGTATATTAGTTTGTTAGCGTTTTAATCAAAAACTAAATTTATTTGCAACATTTTTGACTTTATGATGTAACTTACTGTCTTTTATGGCTATTTATAAACACTGTATAAATTAAAATAAAATAAAAAACACCCCCTTGTGATTTTCAAACTGAAAAGTAAATGGGATTTCAAAAATATAGAGAGATTATTTAGCATACAAACTATGAACCATCGAAAATATGCATAAATTAATGTAGTATTGTCATATTTTCATGTTTAAAAAAGAAGCAAAGCACAAAAAACATACTAAAATGTAAAAAGGTTTTAAGCAGATTTTTGCAATATTATGTTAAATGCTAATATATTAAAATGTGCTTTAAATATGCAATAAACAGGTTATTTTTATCATAAGAATTCCAATAAATATTATTCTAATGCATTTGAACTAATTATATTAATTTAGTTTGTATTTTGTCATGTTCAAAAATATTTGAATGAATCAGGTTTTAAGACAGTTCTGCTTATTTTGAGCAAATTGAATAAATTTATTTTGAAATAGTTTAAATAAAATAAACTATTATAAACTATTTTTTTATTTGAGAAGAATTTTTCTCTTAATTGGCTTTTGACAAATATGAACACATTATGTATATTAGTTTGTTAGCGTTTTAATTTAAAAAATATTTACATTTTTGACTTTATGATGGTATGAAACTTGCTGACTTTTATGGCACTTTATAAACACAGTATAAATTAAGAATAAATTATCATCATTTACAAAAAAAAGTCTCACTTCTGATTTCCAAACAGTAAATTAACTGGAAATTCAAAAATAGAGAGCAGTTATCTATTTCTTAATATATTTAGTTATTTAATATTTTCATGTTTAAAAAAGCAAAATACATATTCTGACCTGTACTTGTAAAATAATCTCAAATACTAAGCAATCTAACTACATAATTGTCTATTGTTTTCTATTGTTCAAAAATAGGTATAACCATGTGGCTGGAAGGATATTATCATTAATCTGAAACACATCATAGACTAAAAACATAAAAATAAAACAATTAATTGGCCTTACCTATAGTCTAAAAGAAAAACTAGGAAGATTTGAGTGCAAATGCTGAAGAATTATGCTTTTAAAGCACATTAGCGCCACCTAGCGGACATCCACCGACATTATTCAAAAGCTTGTTGATTTCCCTGCTGAATAAACGGCTTTAACCAGCCTATATTTGCTGGTTGTAGATTTTAGATGGGTTTGGGCCATTTCAGGCTGAGAAATGACCAGCCTAGCCAGTTTACACTAGGCTTACACAAACTGGTTTTAACTGGTCATTTTTCAGCCTGATCAGCTAAGAAACAAGCCTGAAAATGGCTAAACCCCCCCCTAAAATCAGACTGGTCGACTGGCTAAAACCAGCCAACCAGCCTATGCTGGTTTAAGCAGTTTTTGTCGGCAGGGTTGTACACAAAAAAATACACAATAAAATGATTGTTAACTGTTGTTTTAGGTGTCCAAAGATGACCGCAGCGATATTGAAAGCAGCTCTGAGGAAGAAACTGAAACGTCAGGCAAAGAGCGACTCAAATCTGCCTCGCCGCGAGGAGAAAACGGCACTAACGGTCATTTTGGCTCCAAAACTTGGAGCCAAAACCATAGTGAATGGTGACAATTCGTCCTCGTGGCCTTCGCACAAAGAACTCCAGTCCCAGAAATATGGCGTCGGGACTAATTCCTCATCCCCATACCTCACTCCAACAACCAAAAACACCAACTACAACATCCTGCTGCGGGATTCCTGACACTCCATGGTGGCTTTTGAGGAGTTTTGTTTTGTTTTTTTCCATAAAGACTGTACGGCCACTATGAGAAGCTTGTGAAAGAGAGAAACGATTAAATTAGTGATGTTTGCATTCCCTCGTTTCCTGGTTTTGGGAGACGGTTTTTCCTGCTGGAGACTTTCCTCTTCAGATTTTAATGGTTGGATGTACTTGAGTTTCCACATGCAGTTGCTTTATTTTGTTTTTTATTGGTTGTTTTTTGGTTACTGATGTGTTTGTAATTTGTTTTCCTGTGCTGGTTCTTTTTTTTCGCCGTTTTTTTGTTTTTTATTTTGGAAAACCAAATAAGTTTATTAAAATTGAAAGCTGGGCCTTTTTTCCTGTAATAAGGCGCTTGTTGGTTTAATTTGGTGAGCTTTCACCTTCCGTTGATGTTCTGGGTAGATGTGAATGAAATAAAATAAATGCAAATAAATATAATTTATAAAGTGGAAATGATAAATTCAGGGTTCCCACGATGAACAAGTCTGTTTGTTTGTTTTTTTTAAAGGCTTGAACTAAATAAAGTACATTTTTATAATGCAGTTGTTTGCAGATGATGGAAAATTGCTGTTTTTTGTTCGCAAGGATATTTTTATTTGTTTTATGAAAATAATATTTCAATTGTGCACCTATATTGGCCGTCCTGAAGCAAAATCATTTAAGAATTACTGGCAAATATGTCATTTTAATTTCATTTTAGTACTTTTGATGTGTAGTTTTTCTTTCTTTTCATCAGTAATGCATTATTTTCTGATTTATTAAAACTGTTTTATTTAATATTTTTATTTAATAACAATGCTAAAACACAATTTTATTGATTTTGTTTTTCAGATTTATTTTTAATTCAACTATTTAATATTTTTATTTAATAACAATACTAAAACACAATTATTTTGTTTATTTTAGATTTATTTTTAATTAAATTATTTAATATTTTTATTTAATAACAATGCTAAAACACAATTATTTTATTTGTTTTAGATTTATTTTTAATTAAAATATTTAATATTTTTATGTAATAACAATACTAAAACACAATTTTATTTTATTTATTTATTTTAGATTTCTTTTTCATTAAATTATTTAATATTTTTATTTAATAACAATACTAAAACACAATTTTATTTATTTATTTTAGATTTATTTTTCATTAAATTATTTAATATTTTTATTTAATAACAACGCTAAAACACAATTATTTTATTTATTTTAGATTTATTTTTAATTAAAATATTTAATATTTTTATGTAATAACAATACTAAAACACAATTTTATTTATTTATTTTAGATTTATTTTTCATTAAATTATTTAATATTTTTATTTAATAACAATGCTAAAACACAATTTTATTTTATTCAAATTTATTTTTAATTAAACTATTTAATATTTTTATTTTATAACAATACTAAAACACAATTTTTTTCAGATTTATTTTTAATTAAATTATACTGTTTTATTTAATTTTTTAATTTAATAACAATACTAAAACACAATTTATTTATTTCAGATTTATTTTTAATTAAACTATTTAATATTTTTATTTAATAACAATACTAAAACACAATTTTTTTCAAATTTATTTTTATCTAAATTATACTGTTTTATTTAATATTTTTATTTAATAACAATGCTAAAACACAATTTTATTTTATTATTTTTTCTGATTTATTATTAAATTAAACTGTTTTATTTAATATTTTAATGTAATATTTAAATAACAAAAATACTGAAATAAAATCATTTCAATTTGTGTTCAGCTCTAAAATGCACGGTATGTCAAACTCAACTCCTCGAGGGCCGCAGCCCTGCACACTTTAGTTCCAACCCTAATTAACACACCTGATCAAACTAATTGAGTCCTTCAGGCTTGTTTGAAACCTCCAGGTAAGTGTGTTGGAGCAGGGTTGGAACTAAACTGTGCAGAGCTGCGGCCCTTCAAGAATTGAGTTTGACATCCCTGACCTAAAACAATAACAAATGTAAAAAAAAATATATATTTGTGAACCACTGTGGGAACCCTGCATATTAATAAAGCAAACAGAAGTCATCGCTTTAACAAAGAACATTTAATATATTACAACACAAATCTCATTCTGAGCCACTGAACTCCACATGCATTTCCAATGAGTGCAGGTTTCTGTTGTTACACGTCTCCACATTGTCATGATCAGTGTCCATTATAGTGATGAAGTCCTCATTCTTTGATGATTTCTGAGGCCGTGTTTTCGCTCTGTGCCGCCAGCTCCAGCTGTTTCTTTCTCTGCATGTAGCGTTGAGCCCGCACGACACACAGATACCCGCCGTACACCGTCAGCAGCATCATGGAGCCCGAAAACAGCCTGTAGCCCACGTCAGCGATGCGCTTCCCGCTGACCATGATGGATCTGTGAAAATACACACAGGTGAGTCAACTATGGCATACAAGAAAATCTACACTCACCGGCCACTTTATTAGGTACACCGTACTAGTACTGGGTTGGACCCACTTTTGTGGCATAGATTCAACAATGTACTGGAAACATTCCTCAGATATTTTGGTCCATTTTGATATGATAGCATTACGCAGTTTTATCCAGTTTTGGTGAGCCTGTGTGAATTGTAGCCTCAGTTTCCTGTTTTTAGCTGACAGCAGTGGCACCCGGTGTGCTCTTCTGCTGCTGTAGCACATCCGCCTCAAGGTTGGACGTGTTGTTCATTCAGAGATGCTCTTCTGCAGATCTCGGTTGTAACGAGTGCTTATTTGAGTTACTGTTGTCTTTCTGTCAGCTGGAACCAGTCTGGCCATTCTCCCCTGACATCAACAAGGCATTTGCGCCCACAGAACTGCCGCTCACTGGATATTTCTCTTTCTCAGACCATTCTCTGTAAAGCCTAGAGATGGCTGTGCGTGAAAATCCCAGTAGATCAGCAGTTTCTGCAATACTCAGGCACCAACAGCCATGCCACATTCAAAGTCACTTAAATCCCATTTCCTCCCCATTCTGATGCTCGGTATGAACTGCAGCAGATCGTCTTGACCATGTCTACATACCTAAATGAGTTGAGTAGCTGCCCTGTGATTGGCTGATTAGAAATTTGCATTACAAGCAGTTAGACAGGTGTACCTCATGAAGTGGCAGGTGAGTGTATAATGTTTCAGGAATGTTAGGGGAACATTATTCAACCATTTGCTGACGATAATGTTTTTGTTTTGGAGTGTTCTGCTCTGCAAACAATGAACTTTAGCTTAATGCTCTATTTGGTTCCCAATAATTTATTTTAGAAACCAAATAACAATTGAGGTGAAGTTGGTTTTATATTCGCACATTCATTCAGTGCGACCTGTTCTCGATAGTTTACCATTAGGGGTGTCAAAATTAATTGTTTCTTTGGTGCACTGCGATGCAGACGCGGACAATTCAGTATCGGTTCAGTAATAATCATAACCGGTTATTATGCACTGACATCATTTATCTCCTGTGCGCTCTGTCGCGAGGGAGGTGAGCGTGAGTATTTACAACACTCAGCCAACACAGGGCCGGCCTGTGGCATAGGCACCATAGGCAAATGCTAAGGGCGCTGTATATCCAGGGGGGCACCCGAAATGAGCGCGGTTCAGTTGGTTTTGTTTACGATATTCCTGACACACATTTAGTGATAGACGGCATTAACTAAAAAACATCTTACCCTAAAAAGATCTAAAGTGTTTTCCTACAAAAAGACAAAGCTGGTTAAAGCTGCTCCATTTAAGGCCTCGCAATATGTGTTTAGCCGGGAGAGCTCGCGCTGAGAGGAGCTCTCAATAAGGGACCATCGAAAAAGTGCTTCTTTTTTCCGTTTTTTTTTTTTTTTTCGTTTTCCCTGTTGCGAGAGCTTAAGTGTGTGTGTGTGTGTGTTGGTTTGTTTGTTTGTTTGGTTCTGTCTATGTTTGTATATGTATTTGAATGAGAGACAGTGTGGTGCTGTGTGTCTGTGTGTTTATACCAGTGGTCACCAAACTTGTTCCTGGAGGGCCGGTGTCCTGCAGATTTTAGCTCCAACCCTAATCGAACACACCTGAACAAGCTAATCAAGGTCTTACTAAGTATAGTTGAAACACCCAGGCAGGTGTGTTGAGGCAAGCTAGAGCTAAATCCTGCAGGGACACCGGCTCTCCAGGACCAGGATTGGTGACCCCTGGTTTATACAGACAGTTTGTTATAGCCTCCCTCCTAAAATATAACACTGTATATGGAAAGCATCGTCAATGCACCATGATATCGAATTGAACCGAATCGAAGGCATGATAATCGTAACCGAACCGTGAGACCAGTATAGGTTCACACCTCTATTTACCATGGTACTTTGAATGTTCAATCTGAAATCACTTGTAAGTATGACTCTAAAACAGCATTAGCACTATTCATTTGACTGTGAACAATGTTGTACTTTGATAGTCATTGGCTGCTAATATGAATTCACTATTTAGTATTTGCAAATATTATTTTTGTGAAGTTATTTTATTCAGAAGGTCAGAATGTGTGAATAAAAATAACTCTACCTCAATGAGAGTACATACTTTAACCAAAAAGTAACCATCCCAGAATGTTGCACGAAGGTTTTTGGTAACAACCTAAAAAAAGGTTTTAGGAACGTTCTCCCAACCTAGAGGGAATGCTCTATTTCCATCTAATAAAACATTCTTTGCTTTGCTAGCCAACAGAGATTGTTTTACACACCCTCAACACCAGCAACTTTTTTCTTTAGTAGAGTGTTGCAAAAAATATATATCTTAATTTTCTATATTAAAACAAGCGTAGCCATGCTCATTTTTAAAACTAAACCCAATGGCTTACAGCACTCTGAGAAACAAAAATGAATACCTGTGGCCAGTGGTGTAGTCCTAAAATAAAAGGTAGTGTACTCTTACCCACCCAATCCAAATTTTAAAAGTAGGCAAAGAAACGACGAAAGTCAATGTGTCTTTGATTCATTTGATATATATATATATATATATATATATATATATATATATATATATATATATATATATATCTCAAACAAGGAAACAAGTGTTTCTATAGCAAAGAACTGCAAATATGCAGATATTCTAACAATCTATTGATAAACAAACCTTGTGCTCACGGTCTGCACAGCTGTGGTTTGCTGACTAACTGAAAAACAAGTTTAGGAGCGGGATTCTGCCGCTGTTTTTACATTAAATTTAAAGGGGAATGAGGCGATCATTTAGTAGTGTACAGTTCATAGGGTAATCGCAAAAGTTTTAGGGGGGCTGAATGGAAATATAGGAGGGCTAAAGCAATGCCCATGCTGTTTTATAATTTTACTTTACAGCGAGACATCATTCAGCTGATTTGTTATGATCTTCGAAAAACTCAAACACCAAACTCATTACATAAAAATTAGGGAAGTCTAATCACCAAAACAAATGAGTATACCGAGGGTATGATCCTCAGAAGTCGTAATACCCAAACAGCTCATGGAAAAAAGTAAGCATACTGAGTATAAGTTCATATAGCAAGGACTACACCACTGCCTGTGGCTCTCCTGAAAACAAGCTTAATTTTATTTATTTTTTGTTTTACTAAGACAAATAGTGTTCTCTTGGGTGGATTAAGGGCAAGTCAATTGGCTTTCTCTTTTTATGAACTAACCCTTAAAGAAAATGTGCAAAATATCGCTTTAGAAAATCAGCTACAAACTGTATTGAGATTAATAGCTGTTAAAAAGAAAACAGGTTGATTTTTAGTTTGTGTTTCTCTTTTAATAACTAATTTAACAGTAATTGATCTGAGATAAAGGGTCTCGAACTACGTATGAGCTAACATTGTTTTAAAAATGGCTCCCATATACTAATTTCATTAGTCAAATAATGCCACAGTGTTGAAAGATGTTCGTGAGAACTCATTTTATTTTCTTTGATTTCTGAAAACACAGTATCAGCATGAGTTAGCGTCTTAGATCTCAACAGCTCGATTTCTTTCGCACTAAACACCATACATTTCATTCAAGTTCCTTCTGTATAAATACCCTCGTTTAAGGCCGAATGTAGATTAATGTTGCTGCGTTTATTTACAAAATGCAAAGTCTTACCTGTTTAGTTTACAACTCAAAGTATGAGGAAATGCAATGCTGTTCTCAATGTCAAAGGCAGGTGTTAGTGCGCATGCGCAGTTCCTTTTCGTAACTCTATGGCAAAGCAGAAGGGCCAAAAGTAACGTTAATAATTGCGTTTTTCTCTTTTAAAAAGAGACTACGTTTATAAACTTTGTAATCTAAAAACTAATATTTATAGTTTGGTAAATTCTCGAATATCTTAGTTTTATTGCTGAATTTGAATGTTTGTAACGTCATTGATTTGTGTATAGTTTTAGTCAAACGTGGAACTATTTACTTTCTAGGCTACCGCTCGCCTTCAGGAATTATTTTGTTGTTGGACAGACATGGAGGCTCATGACGCCCATGTGAACTCAGAGGAAAGTGAAAATCCAGGAGCTGCTCCTTATGGAAACTTTATCAACTATTCCCAGATAGCATACAGTTCTGGGCCACATCTGGGCCAACTAAGGCACATATGGCTCACTTCTGGCAATGGCAGGAGACATATGGGCCACATCTGGCCCATATGTGTCACACCGGGTGTAGTGTGAGTTGTGGCCTGCTGTATGTGGGCCAGATGTGGCCCGTGTGTGACACCCCGGGTGTAGTGTGAGTTGTGGCCTGCTGTATGTGGGCCAGATGTGGCCCGTGTGTGACACACCGGGTGTAGTGTGAGTTGTGGCCTGCTGTATGTGGGCCAGATGTGGCCCGTGTGTGACACCCCAGGTGTAATGTGAGTTCTGGCCTGCTGTATGTGGGCCAGATGTGGCCCGTGTGTGACACCCCGGGTGTAGTGTGAGTTGTGGCCTGCCGTATGTGGGCCAGATGTGGCCCGTCTGTGACACCCCGGGTGTAGTGTGAGTTCTGGCCTGCCGTATGTGGGCCAGATGTGGCCCGTCTGTGACACCCCGGGTGTAGTGTGAGTCCTGGCCTACCATATGTGGGCCAGATATGGCTTGTATGTGACACACCGGGTGTAGTTTGAGTTGTGGCCTGCCATATGTGGGCCAGATGTGGCCCGTGTGTGACACACCGGGTGTAGTGTGAGTTGTGGCCTGCCATATGTGGCCCAGATGTGGCCCGTGTGTGACACAGCGGGTCTAGTGTGAGTTGTGGCCTGCTGTATGTGGGCCAGATGTGGCCTGTGTGTGACACATCGGGTGTAGTGCGAGTTGTGTATTTTTAGTTACGGTTTAACTATAAATGAACGGGAGCCTTTGAAGTGGTTACAAATTATTAGAAATTGAAAATCAAAGTTAATTTGTCTTTCTAAGTCTGTACACTTTCGTTTTATGAAGTAGAAAATAGAAAATAAATATTGTAAATTAATGTAATGTGATGCAAGGATTTACATTTTTCCAATCGGCTACTTCTGCCTATTGACTGCATACCTAATGAGTGGGAGGGGCTTGCTGCTCAAACATTACACAGACTCTGAGGTGAAGCAGCAGCAGTTCTGTGTTTCCTGTGTTATATTAACATTATTGTCCCTCATCAGGCAGTGAGAGCGCTACACCTTCTCTGAAAATAATAACATTGCATGTTCTAAATAAGACTTTCTGAGATTGAAAAAGATTTTTTAGGTTACTAAGAATAGGAATAAGCTATTGCTTATCCGGAAAAGTATATGTTTGTAACCTTATCACATATTAATTCAGTTTATTTCCTCAATAATGGATTTATTTTTACTTTAAGGCTGCTACGAATATAAATTTATATTATCTGTTATATGTAAATATTCCAGCATGAGTAAAATTCATTTTTTTTTCATATTACCTGGTATGTCTATAAATGTCTATAAATGCAATGAGTTTCATTATTTATTATGTTTTGATCCATTAATGTTTTGTTCAGTTTCTCCATTTGAATGAATTAAGACAGTGTCCTACCGCCACCTACTGGGTGGATTTAATTTGCTATTAGTACTACTTTTTAATGAACAATTTTACAAATGAATTCATAATCTAATAATGCTAAATTAAAGTGCTGTTTTCTTGGTGTTATTTTTTGCAATTCTACATTTTTACAATGATTTTGTTTGATTAAATGCCACATACAACATTGTTCTTTTTTTATTTAATTTGAATATTAAATAGACATAAATGTTTTGTTTATGAATAAAATATGTACTATGTAGAAAAAAATGTCAGAGAACTGAGCAGTAGAATGTGAATAACATGAATGTGTTCGTGAATAAGCTGATCTTTGTAAACAACACAAAGTTTTATTTACTTATTCTACAGAACACAAAAAATAATAAAATAAATCTGACCAATTTTAATGCACCTGTAACAGCGTACACAAATTTTATAGACATTTTGCTATTAATAAGCATGTTAATTAGCAATTAGTTAATTGTAGATATATCTTAAAGTGTTATAGTTTTTATATAACAAGCTATTGAATATTAAAAATAACAGTAAATATTCTAGAATTACAGCATGTTACATAACAGAGCAAGGACATGTTCACAGTATGTCTGATAATATTTTTTCTTCTGGAGAAAGTCTTCGACTAGAATAAAGCAGTTTTTTATTTTTTTCAAAGTGTTTTAAGGTCAAAATTATTAACCCCTTTAAGCTATATATTTTTTCTACAGTTTCAGAACAAATCATTGTTATAAAATAACTTGCCTAATTACCCTTACCCTAATATATATAATATTATTTATATATATATATATATATATATATATATATATATATATATATATATATATATATATATATATATATATATATATATATATATATATATATTTATTTATTTATTTATTTATTTATTTATTTATTTATTTAAAAACATAATCGTAAAACTGCCCCCTGGTGGCGAATTTGTGTTTCGCTTCATCCTTGCATTACGGTGGAGTGGGCGGAGCCTCGTGAATGACGGTTATTTTTTTCAAACGAGGAAGTGAAGTCAAGTCCGCCATTTCATCTTCTTCTTTATGTCGGGTAAGTTATTATTTTAAAATCATATTTGTGAGATATTTGTCGTCAGGTAATGTTTTTATTAGTTAGAAAAGCCCCTGTTTTGAAAAGTGATAAAACTGTAACTTATATGTGGATAATATGGCTAAAAACGGCTAAGAATGGTGGCAGCCGTCAGTTCAGTAACGTTAATGTTAAGTTGATTGTGCTCGGGGTTTTAACAAATTCATTTAAGTAACAATTGTCCTTTTAATCGCTCTTTATTCCCAATTAAATGATCAATTAGACGTGTTATATGAAGAACAGTGTCGAAACGGGAGCTTGAATGAATGAATCATATGCTGTCCGTTTTATACAGTTGTAAAAGGTGCCGAGTTCTGCTTTTGTACTGGTTTTAGCTCAAACACTGAACGAACAGTCTCTTTTTGGTAACGTTAATCCTAATGATCTTGATTTGCTTGTTAATGTGTGTTTTATCAAGTTTCAGCAAAAGTTTGCAGAGTAACGTTATGTGGTTCATGCTGGCCACTGTTGAGACTGGTCTGCATAAAAAAAATGTTTAAAGCCAAAACGTTTGAAAAAAAATCCACAGTTGAAACATGATGTGTTAAATGACTTATGAAGGAAATTAATTAGCTAAAAAAGAAGGCTAAGTGTGTTATGAAATATTAAACCTTGTTAAAAAATAAAATCAATTGTGTTAAATAAGCTTAAAATCCATATCTTATGTTTTATATTACTTCAAAACAGCCTGGAAACTGAATTGCACCATTAATCTTGTACATATGTATCAAGTCCAAACAAATGGTTTTGTGGCAAGTAAAAATAATATTTTTATAAATTGATTGTATTTTATTAATTTGTTACAGAAAAGAAAGGAATCATGCAAGGATGCAAGCTGAAGGAAAGGACAACTCTCACATCAGTGCATTACTAATTGTTTGACTTCATCATCAAGCACACCAGGTACAATATTGTACATATTTTGTAACTTGTATATGTCAGACTGGTTGTTGGGAACTGAAATAATATATTTTATGTTTTATTTATTATTAAAATATTACAAGATTTATTGGTGCTATTTTATCACTGTGTGAGGTCATAGCTTATTTTAAAAATCTAATAATGACATAATAATGACATCTTTTATCCTCCACTTGTTTCAATTTTTTTTTTTTGTTCTGTTGAACATACTGTAAACTCAGACGGTGCGGTGGTACAGTGGATAGCTCTGTTGCCTCCCAGCAAAAATGTTTCTGGTTCGAGCATCGGCTGGGTCAGTTGGCATTTCTGTGTGAAGTTTGTATGTTCTCCCCGTGTTGGCGTGGGTTTCCTCCAGGTGCTCCGGTTTCCCCCACAAGACATGCGGTACAGGTGAATTGGGTAAGCTAAATTGTCCATAGTGAATGTGTGTAAATAAGAGTGTATGGGTTTTTCCCAGTGATGTGTTGCAGCTGGAAGAGTATCTGCTGTGTAAAACATATGCTGGATAAGTTGGCTGTTCATTCCACTGTGGTGACCCCAGATTAATAAAGGGATGAAGCTGAAAAGAAAATGAATGAACACAAACCCAGTTTTTCCTACTATGTATATCAATAGTTACAGGTTTCTAACATTCTTCAAAATATCTGCTTTAGTGTTGAACAGATTCAAACTGCTTTGAAACAAGTAGAGGATGAATAAATGGTGGCAGAATAGTAAACTACATCTTTAAATGTTTTATTCTGTGTGTTATGTGTATTCATATTTGTCTTGTCTTTTGTCATATTGTCCTTCTAGCTCAGATTGTGATGGACCTGGAATGCGACACCAGTTACTCTTAAGTCAAGAACCAAATAAAGCACCAGAGTACAGATTATGGAGGTATCTGAAATTGAACTAACTGGAAGCAGGGAACCATACTAATAAAGTTCCTTTAGGTAAAAGCACCTGCTTTATTTTGATAGGAAGTATTTTTTTTAGAGTTCTATTGTTTTATTCCTATTCTAATTTAATTTTATTCATATACTGAATGGAAGTCATTCAAATTTCACAACAAATGATTAGCAGATTGAATATAAAATATAATGACATTTTAATACATTATTTCTTTTGGTTATTCTTTACATCTATAAATGGGCAAGTATTTAATCAATGAAAATAATTTTAAACAACTTAACTAAACAAATTACTCTGTTGGACCCTAATATTTAAAATAGCAAAATCCTCAAACTAACACACACTCTTGTGAATGCATTCTCACATTCATACAACAGTCTATCTCAGTCTGACTCACACACAACATCCTCTCTCACAGATTTTTCTAGCAAACCTCCACCACTAGCTTGTCCTGTTACGCTGCTTTTATTTCAAACATTTTAGAGCATGATATAGTCCAGGTTTTTATCACTAAGTATTTTTTTTCCATTCAGCAGGTTCCTTGTAAAGATGAACCCAGGGAAGGATCGAAAGTGGAGAAGACCAGATCAAAAAAGACCACATCAAGATCTGCAGTCAGTTCAAAGGTACTTTCACTAATTACCAAGGTTTCAGACTATGAATTGATGGAGTAAACTTTGAGTGTCAGATCTTCCTAGCAAAAATTCTTCCCAGTGTCTTGTAGTAGAAGTGATGCAGTCAATCAAGTTTACGTTATTTCGTAAATTGCTTTCCGATTTAATAAAAATATAATAACCAAACTTGATTAATGTAACAATTTTGATGAAAAGGGCATGTTTTACTAAAGCTTTTAGCACAAAGGCACCCCCATCTTGTAATATTGCTGTGTCTGACGTCACGGGGTTGGTATGATGGAAACGTTTTTGAATGAGGTATTTGTATGATTTATACATAGTCTGTCTTAAAGCGTCACTAAATTGTACAGGCATTACAGGTCAAAGCAATCGGTTATTAAATTTATCAAAATAAACAATAAGGCTCTTAAAACACTGCTTCGAAAAATGTAGAAAATGTAAAAAAATATTTCAAATACCTCAAATGAAATGAAGTCATTTGTTTTATTATTTTTAAAATATATTTTTTTGTAAAGTCATTTGTTTATAATTATGTAAAAAAATCTAAGTACTATAAAAGTTATTTAAGCAACAAATTTGCCAGATTGTAAAGGCAGACACAGAATGAGCAAACAAGAAAAACTGTGTAAAATGTGTAAATAAAAGGCTACATTTTAAATTTTTACATCTTTTCATCATATACATAAAACCTTCCTAAGCTTGAAAATATATTTCCTTAAAATAAACTTTCTTTGTTAGTGCAAATTTCTTTTTATGTAGTCTTGTAATTAAACAATTAAACCATTCAAACAAGTTTACACTTGTTTGTCCGTTATGAAAATCTGATTTTTTTTTTTCAAATTTAACTAACTAAAATAGTACCATGTACTTTTACTCTGTATTAGTATTATTTACTAAAATTTGTTTTATTTTAGCAATGTAATAGTATTTCTAGTCCTTTAATTTATTGTAATTTAATTTTCAGTTCTCTTTCCAACTACGAAAACATAAAAAAAACAATAATTTCACAAGCACATTTAAAATAGGTTTAATACTCTGAAATATTATATTAATATTATTTTTTTATTTTTTATAAATCAATAGGTAGTTCCTATGGAATGTTTTTATGTATTGCTGAGAATACATTTCAGGTGTTCAATACGTTGCTTGTCAGTCTTAAAAATAAAAATAGGTGCTTAAAAAAGTGCTTAAAAGTCTAATCGAGTTGTGCCTGTATGTACTCTGCAAACAGCACCTTTTAATTGTTGTCCTCCTATTTTCAGGATGTTTTGCATTGGACTGTTTTTTTTTTTGGCTTTGACCCTTGCTCGCCCCTGACCTCACTCTTGGACTGCCCTGTTGGATTTTCAGTTTATTTAATTTAATTTTTATTTTTATTTTTTGGTTCTGGGAAAATGCTAATAAATATTTAGTTGTAATTATTTAAGTATTATGTTTAGTTAAATATGCGATTTCTGTGTTTGTTCCGTCTACTCATACTTGTTTATCTTGTTTCTGTAATTATCATTTGTTTATTTGACCCCTGCCTCGCCTTTGATCTTGTTTTTGGATTGCCCTTTATATATCTTTTTAATTATTGGTTCTGGCTTTATGGTTATAAAATATTTGTTAATTTAAATAATATGCATTTTATAAAAATATATATATATATTTTCTGTGTTTATTCTGTATCTATCTAATTTGTATATACATTTGTGTTTGTATGTTCTTCTTATTCTGTGTATCCACTTACCTAATTTTAACTTTTATATATATTTATTTGCATTTAATTTGTGATAATTCTGTATGCATTTATTTATCTAATTCATATATTTATTTGTATTGCATTGATCAAACTGTTGTTGTTTTTTTTGTATGCATCTATTTATATAATTTATATAAATTATATATTTGTATTTATCAATTTATATGCTTCCTTTAAAGCATTTTTTTAAATAAAGCAATTTAAACTAAGCATTCCTTTTAATGTGATTTATATAGCTACCAAATGTAGATGTGAGCCACATCCAACCCAAAAGTCAGCCGCAACTGAACCAGATCTGGGCCAGATCTGTGAAATTGCATGGACCACGTCTGGGCCAGATCTGAGAAACTGCATGGGCTGCATTTGGGCCAGATCTGAAAAAGTGCATGGGCCGCAGCTGGGCCAGATTTGAGAATGTGCATGGGCCGCAGCTGGGCCAGATCTGAGAAAATGTATGGGCCACATCTGGCCCAGATATGGACCATGCTTTTTCTGAGATATGGCCCAGATCTGGTTCAGTTGTAGCTGACTTTTGGATCCTTATGTCAGCCACAATCAGGTTGAGTCATCGCCGTCATTCCGCACGGTATGTGGGCCAGAAGAAAATGGGGGATGTGGGCCATATCTGGGCCAGATGTAATTTGCTATCTGGGTTACACCTTCAACCCAC